TATGCAGTCTTTGTTCTCCTAAGATTTTTTGGCAGGATTTAGAATTCTAGACTCTCAGCTAGATTCAGAGCTTAAAATGTCATTCTGTCGTCTTATTAACCCCTGTGTTTTTGTCAAGGAGTCAGCTGTTAGTCTCTAACTCTTTTGAAAGTATGCTGTTCCCCATCCCTGGCACTTTGGAGACTTTTCATCTTTGGTATTCTGCAGACTTACCACCATATTCAAGGAATGCATTTCTTTTCATCCTATGGGGGGGGGGTCAATAAAATTTCTTGAATCTGTTGTTTCATAATTTTCATCAGTTTGGGAAAGGTTTTCATTATCCTCTTTTCAAATATTACTTCTGTGCATTTCAACCCTATATAGGACTGCAATTATAAACTTGATGTCCTCATTATCTCTATGCTTCCCTCAAGCTCATCTGTGTTTTCCATCCTCTTGACTTTTACCACTTCACTAACTCTCCCTTCAGCTCTATCTAATCTTCTATTAAACTCATTTATTAACATCCTAATTTCCATTATGTTTTTAAGACTAGCATTTTCGGCCGGGCGGTGGTGGCGCACGCCTTTAATCCCAGCACTCGGGAGGCAGAGGCAGGCGGATCTCTGTGAGTTCGAGGCCAGCCTGGTCTCCAAAGCGAGTACCAGGAAAGGCGCAAAGCTACACAGAGAAACCCTGTCTCGAAAAAAAAAAAAAAAAGACTAGCATTTTCACTTCATTTTTAAGGATTTTTTTAACATTTATTTGTTTATTTATGGAAGGGATGAGAATGTGGCATGGCACTATATGGAGGTCAGAGAACAACTCATGAGAGTCAGTTCTCTCCTTTCACCATGTAAGACAATCAAACTTAGATTATCAGGTTTGGCGCCAATTGTCTTTACCCACTGAACCATCTCACCCACCCCACTTTTTAAAATTTTAACATCTCTACTAAAAATATTGAATCTTGCCAGGCGGTGGTGGCGCACGCCTTTAATCCCAGCACTCCGGAGGCAGAGCCAGGCGGATCTCCGTGAGTTCAAGGCCAGCCTGGTCTCCAAAGAGAGTTCCAGGAAAGGCACAAAGCTACACAGAGAAACGCTGTCTTGAAAAACCAAAAAAAAATATTGAATCTTGTCTTTTATCTTTTCGAATAAAGTAAGCATAGATACACAAAGTCAGTTCCTAAAAACTGCAATACCACAAGTCCCTGTGGATACAGTAAGTTCTGTTGCTTCTACTTCATTTTGATCATGTTCTAAACAGGACATATTTATATAATTTTTGTATAAAAATTAGATGCCTATAATAAAGTTATCATATTCCAAATAAGATTTGAATTTGTTTTAGCCAAGTATCTAAGAAAAAGAAATTATAACTGTACTCACGGTAGATTGGCAATCCTGTGATTATCACGTAAGCTGCTAATCCCTAGTCCTCTAAGCGGTCAAATGCACTGCTCAGTTTTTCAGCTGATCCTTAAAAATCAGCAAATATTCACTGGAGTAACACAGTCCCAAATAATAGTCTTATTTTCCTGCTTTTATTCTCTCCTCGGTAAACTCTCCCGTCATGTCTCAAATACCTTTTGAGTAGTTGTAGGAGTAGGAAGGCTGGCTTTTCTAGTTGATGTGTAAAGGAAGATTTGTCTCCAACTATTTTCTGTGCCATAACTGAAAGCACAACCATCAAGCTCTTAAATGTCATTCTCAGTATCTTAACTCCCAACCTCCTACACAGACAGACTCTTCTCCACACCTGTACTGTCCTTGCTTTCCTACATTAGTGGCCAAAATGCTCCTGCACATGTAAACCTAATTTCCTGTTTGTTCATCTTCATCCTCTGTCTACTCTAGAATGTTACCACAACCACTTCTCTCCATAGCTGCCTTTCCAACAGCTCTCACCTAAAAACAGGGGCTTGGGCCTGCTCCCTTATGCCCACTTCAAGCTGCTAGCAACTATGTCATGTCTCTCATTCTGAGGTTAACAACGCAGTCTTAATTCACAACCTCTGCTTCTCCCTTCACATAGTCTTTCCTCCCTGTTGGAACGTGATTTTGTATCCATCACTGTAACAAAACAAAGCTGTTGGAATTACTAGGGAAGAAAAGCTTCATTACTTAACTGCTAAGACAGACTCAAGCTTTGGGAGAATATTTTTAGTCTTGGGTTGGTTGAGAGTGCTTTTTGTTGTTTGTTTTGGTGTTGTTGTTTAATGTGAATGCAGGTTACCCTTTGAATACAAATGCTTCACCCTGGCCTCCAATGTGCATCAGTCTCCTGACTCTTGAGTTGGACTCTCCAGTTCTCAGGTTTCCTGCTGAGTCCTCTTCCTTCTTTTACCACACACAAGGTTCTCTAGTCTTAAGATTGTCTCACTTCTCTCTTTAGAGTGTTAAATCTCCGTCTCTAACCCTGCTATCCAAAGCTCTTCAACTTTCCAACTTCCTGCTGAGTAATACTGGCAAGCACTCAGAATGCGACATGTTTCTAATACAATTTATTATTCTCCTCAAACTAAATTTTCCACCTGTGTACTGCATCCAGCTTAATGACATCATTACCATCCCTCAGCAGCAAACAGTAGTCGTCTCATTGTTTCCCACCATTACCATATCACCAAATTCTGTCTATCCTAATTTCACAATGTTCCTAATAGATTCCTTCCTTTCCAGCTTGATTTTAACTGTCTGAGTTCAGGTTATTGCAGTAATGTGGCATAAAGATGACAGAAGTTTCCTAATAGATCTCTCAACCACTAACCTCTTCTTCAACAACTCATGGTTTAACTAAAACATAAAGGCTACTTTGAGGAGGGGTTCTGACCTGCACACATCCTCCCTGGCTGCAACTGTGGACCCTAGCATCCCTTTCTAGTCTCATCTCTAAGAGCTTTTCAATATCACACAGGTGAACTCCTGAGGAAAGAACTCGCTCACACTTGACATCAAAGCCTAAAGGTGACTCTAAAGTAAACTGGGCTATAAATACAAACTCTGGGGGCCAGGGGGCAGAAACAACCATCCATAAATTCTAATGAATAAACAGACAGAGACAGACTGGCTGGCAGCACCAATCTGCAGAAGCATCTGGTGCTTCTCCAGAACAGTACAACTGAAGACAAGAATCTTCTAATCACTAGGAGCATCACCTAAGCCTCCACTGACCCCTTAACTTTGTATATGTAAGAAAAACACAAGGTAGTATCACAAAGATTGAAAAATGTGAACCAAGATTTGAGCCATCTCTTACAGAAGACAAGAAAACCAAAACTAAAGCAGGGGCGCAGGGTGTTTGGACACTACCAATAAAATAAAAAATACCAAGCCTCTCAAGAAGAACTGAAAAGAATTCAGATCTACACAAGATAGTATTAACTATATTTAATACATAATACAAGGCACATGTACCTATAGTCCCAGCTACTTAGGAGACTGAGGAAAGAATACCTTCAACACAGAAGTTCAAGGGCAGCCTGGGAAAAATAATAAGATGTCTCTTTAAAAAATTAAAATTAAAAAAATAAATAATAAAAACACCACAATCCCAAAATATCTGACATATATACAACCCAGAAAATGTGATCTATTCTAATGGGAAAAAATTAACACACTCCACTCTCAAATAACTCAGAGCTTACGATTATTAGTTAGAACTTTAAGTCAACTATGACTATACTCACTGAGGTAAAAGACAGACACTTGAAATAACCATAAGATAAGAGATCTCAACAACAACAAAAAAATTTTACGACACAAATTTTAAAACTAATTTCTATACTATGTGAAATAAAAGATTTGGTAGGTAAGTGTGATAGAAAAATAGAAAAGAATAAAAGTATCTGTAACCTTCACTGACAGAAATCATACAGACTGAAAGACAGAAATAAAACTGAACCACAAAGATGAACTCATTGACTCTAGATAGCATCAAAAGCTCAAATATAAGGATAACTGGAGTTCCAAGAGGTGGGGGGGAAATTCCCTCAAAATTGAATAGTGACTTAAAACAGATTTGGCAAAAGACATACAGATTCAAGAAGATCAGTGGTTCCCAAAAATAAAGTATCGAATGAAACTGCATCTAGCCTGCCATCAACAAGCTGCTGAAAAGCAGTCAGTCAAAGGAGCCAATTGCAAAGCAAAGGGAAAGGGCACGTGGCATGTGACACGCAGCACAAGGCACTTGGGAACAGCACTTTGAATGGCAGATTTACTTTATTTTTATATATCTTCTTCCATAACAGCTAAAGACAACGGAACAACATCTTTAAAGTCCTGAAACAAACAAACAAAGCCGTCAACCTTGAATTCTATAGGCAGTAAAAATCCTTCACAAATAATGGCCAGCGAGAAAACACTTTGAGATAAGGGAGAAAGTCCATCCCCAGCAGAAATTGCTCCAAGAAACACCACCAGGAGCTCTGTGAGCTCAACAGAAGTTACATGGGCCTTTAGGAAGGAATGTAAGCACTGGAGCCATCTTGTGTATGTAAACTATACCTCAATAGAATTGTAAACAGTTATGGGAAATTATTCAAACTCACAATTATTCATATACTTCATGAAACTAATGAAGTATAGTGTAGCTGGTCCCATCTGGGCCCGCAACCGCTCAGACCCAAATAAACACAGACGCTTATATTAATTAAAACTGTTTGGCCTAATGGCTCAGGCTTCTTGCTAGCTAGATCTTACACTTAAATTAACCCATAATTCTTATCTATGTTTAGCCACGTGGCTTGGTACCTTTTCCCAGTTCTGCCTTCACATCTTGCTTCCTCTGTGTCTGCCTGGCGACTCCTGACTCAGCCTTCCTGTTCCCAGAACTCTCCTTTCTCTTTATCCCACCTATACTTCCTTCCTGGTTACTGGCCAAACAGCACTTTATTTATTAACCAATCAGAGCAACACATTCACAGCACATATAGAGATATCCACAGCAGTATATAGAATAAAGACATCTTCAGAAGCACAGGCTTCAAAGACCTCATATTCTTTTTTTTTTTTTTCTGCTGTTGAATTTATTACAGGAAGTTGATTGCCAAGTGCTGTATGATACTTCCAGCTGTTACTAGGTGGTCTGCAGGCGAAGTCAAGGGTTGGGGAACATTCAGGGTTTCTGCAGGCAAGGTTCAAAGAGCCTCCGATGCCCTCCCTGGGATGTGGCCAGGACATCAGGTCTCTGGGCAGATGACATTCCTCACCAACAGGCTCTGGGCACCAACTTCACAGCCAAGTGCACGCACGCGGGGCTGACTAAGCAGACGGATGCTGTGTATAGAGGGTGTGGCCTCGTCCCATCCACCTTGTCCTTCTCTGCTGTGACTACAGCAGCCTGTGCAGGAAGTGTGTGCCTTCTTTAAGGGACACTTGCAAACATTCCCTGATGCCCAATTATTTCAAGATCGTTTATTTTCAAAATGGGTCACAACATCAGCTTTTGGCCCATTCTGCCAAATGTACAAGCTACAAATGCTTGCTCAGCAACTGAGGGGCATGTTAGTATTATGTCTGAAAAGTGAATAAAAATCCATATAAAACAAATATTCAAAGTTTCCATAGGAACACAGGTAAGTGTGACCCATCTCCTAGTCTTCCATTCTGCATCTGTTGCAACCCCTACTCTTACGAAGACCTCAAAACTAGCAGTAATTAAGTTAAATGGTCCCCCCAAATCCCTTAATTCAAGCTAAACTTGCAGGTGAGAGCTATACATTGATACTAGCAGAAGCACAGGCTGCTGGATACCAGTCCATCCCGCTTTCCCGGGCACATGACAAGGGCAGCAGTGTGCCAACATCCTGCTCCTCCACTTCTGGTGGGAAGCCATGGCTCTGGATCTGCTTCATGAGTTGCCACATTGACCTCGCCATTACGTAGTAGATGGAAGGCCTCTGGAACCCATTGAAAGTAGACGCAGCAGCAGCAATGGTGCATGCACCCATGTTCTCAAAGAGCATCCAATCACCCACATGCATTTCAGGCAGGTTACTGCGCTCGACAATCCGATCAAGGCCATCACATGTTGGTCCCCAGATGCTGGATGAGTAATACTTCTCATCTGGCTTGGGTCTCTTCGACAGCAGGGCCTTGACATGTGCACGATCGTAAAGAATGCAGTTGAATGATCCATAGACTCCGTCATTCACATAATACATGATGGTTTGCTCATTTGACTCATCCTCATCGACAGAGCCAGTCTGCTCCTTCCACACTACTTTCTTGGCAATGATGTTGACTGCCAGTGTGAAAGCTGACGCGACATAGTATCTGCCCAGCTCAGCTATGACTCTCACTCCAGAGTCTGGTGGGAAGTACTTGTCCAGAGCCTCATATTCTTTTTTTTTTTTTTAAGACCTCATAGTCTTACAAAGCTAAAGGAAACAATACAGTTAACTAAGAATGCTGGTGACCTGGCATTCAATGGAGAGGATCCAGCACTAAAGAAGTACATAGAATTTTCTGTGATGACAGAGAAAAGCGATCGCAACACAGCATCAATGCAGTGGACATGAGCACAGCCTCTGAGTGAAGGCAACAGTTTGTATTACAACAGTGTCAAGAGAAAGACTGTTGGCACTAATGCCTGCTATCCAAGTAGCTATGCTTGTCTAATACAAAGCAGAATGCCTAAATTGGCTTGAGCTGCTTCCTGTTCTTGGCATAATGGAACCATAACCCAATGACACACTCAGAGGTACACACACACACACACACACACACACACACACACACACAAGCACATGTGGGCATGTACACACATACAAATGAATATAATAAAATTAAAAATCAAAGTATATCACAAAGCTGTAGTAATCAAAGCAGTGTGGTTCTGTCATGGAAACACACAGACAGGTCAATGAAAAAGAAGAGCTCAGAAACAAACACCCACATTTATAACCATCTGTCATGGAAACACACAGGTCAATGAAAAAGAAGAGCTCAGAAACAAACACCCACATTTATAACCAATGATCTTCAACAAAAATGTCAAGAAAACACAACAGGAAAAGGATAGTCCCTAATAAATAGTACTAGGAAAATTAGAACCCTATGTACATAAGAATGAAGTTAGGACTCTTGTCTTACACCATATACATAAAAGAACTCAATTCAAAATTATTACAGACTTAAATATAAGACATGAAAGTGTAGTACCACATATAGAAAGCAAAGAGGTAGACACTGTGACATCGATCTGGGACAAAGTTTTGGCTTCTGCTGCTGCTCTTTTTGAGCTACAAACCCCAAAGCACAGATAGCAAGAGCAAAAGAACAAAACTACAGACAGTATTACATCAAACTAACGAACCTCTGCACAGCAAAGGAAGCAACCCAGGGTCTGAGGATTCAAGCTGTGGAACTGGAAGATGCATCTACAAAACGTTCACCTGATCAGGCATAAACATCCAAAATACATATGGAACTGAATCAACTTCCTAGCACAGAAAAAAGCACCTGGTTCTGAACAGACATTTCTCAAAGGCAGACACAGAGCTGTCCAGCAGGTATATGAACACCAGTGTCACAAGGAAACACACATGAAAACTGCCACGAGAAACCATCCCACAGCTGTTAGAATGGCTGTGAGCAGAATGACAAATGGTAACAAGTGTTGGTAAAAGAAAAGACAATTACACAATTAGTAGAAACATTAATTATTAGTTATTCAGGAAAGCAATGTGAAAGTTTCTCAGATTTTTAAAATAGAACTATACTATCCTATGAGCCAGCAATTCTACTTTTACACACATATCCAAAGGAAATGAAAGCACCACATATAAAACACATCTGCACTCCTATGGCTACTGCAGCATTATTGCCAAAATCAAAATATGGAATCAGCCTAAGCACCCATTAGTATACAAATAATAAAGAAAATGTGGTATAGATACAATGGAATACTATAGGGGCTGTAAAGCGGAGGGTGGGGGGACCTGTTAGTTGTGATAACGTGGATGAACCTAGAGGTGCTAAATAAAACTGTACATAAAGATAAATTTCATAGTATCTCACTTATACAAGGAATCTAAAAAAGCTGAACTCCTAAAAGTAGCAAGTCAAATCACAGTCACCGGGGACTAAAGGAGTGGAAGGTACAGGGGAGATAATGGTCAAAGGATACAAGATTTCAGTTAAAGCAAAGGTGTAAGTTCAAGAGTTCTGTTACAAATTTCATTTTATGATATTTCATAATGACACAAAATATTTTTAAAAACTTAGCAGTATTATAAGGATATGAAAATTCATGCAATTATAAAAAGAATGTGCTACCTAAATGATTACATGTTTTTCTGATTTAAAGCATTGCATAGGTTTAAAATACACAATTTTTTATCCATTTGCAAAAAATTCAGCATCTTTGTTAATATGATGTTTTTGATAATTCTTTGAGAATTTTATGCTGTGTATTTTTAACATTTTATTAATTATTTGGTAATTTCAAACACTGGGTGTTGATTCTATTTACCTTCTTCCCCTAACGCCTCCCAACATCTATCCAAATTCCCTACCCAACCAATTGTATATCTTCTTTTATTTTCCTTTTTTTTTGTATTAAAAAAAGTTCATACAAAACAAAGAGTTCTGTTACATGCTAATAACATGTCTACTTGAAAATTGATGATTTTTAGACAATCTCATCACAAGAAAATAGGTATGTGAGGTAGTGCACAGCCGATTCAGTAATACCACAATGGATACATATCAAAATGTCATATTTATATCATAAATTATGTACATTTTTTATTTGTCAATTAAAAAAATAAATTCTCTAGAGGCAGCAGAGAGAAGTCAGGGTTTAGATTACATACTGACTCAAGTACTCTTTTTATTTTTGTTTGTTTTTTGAGAGACTGTCTCACCATATAACGCAGGCAGACCTGGACCATGCAATCTTCCTGCCTCAGTCTCCAGAGTGCTGAAATTACAAGTGTGCCCCATCTTGCCCAGCTTCAAGAAGCTTTTGAGCACAACCTTTAGCTAAAGTCAAAGGATGAAAAAAAAAAAAGTAGTACACATAAAAGTTAAATTCCAGTTTCTAGATTTGTTTTTCACAACTAGTATAAAACAGAGGAATAAATTAGCAATTCTAAGACAGTCTCTATATTCTAGGATTGAACAAGTAAGTAAAAACTTGTGGATAATAAAAACCAGATTTGTCAATGCTGAAGAAAGAAATTACAAATACAGGAAGTATAAAAGCTAAAAACTGCAATAGAATTAGATATAGCATAACTCAACTGTTTAAAATAGCTATAAAAATAGAAATGTGTCTATAGATATATAAATACATACAAGTATATATACATATATTCTTGCCTACCTCTGTTGTATTAATTAATTTTCTATTACTGTAATAAGATACCATGACCACAGCAACTTATAAAAGAGTTTGTACTGGGCTTGTGGTTCTAGAGGTTGCAGTCTACACTGACAGAGTGAAAGCATGGCGACAGTGAGCTGGAGCAACAGCTGAGAGCTCACATCTTGATCCATACGCAAGAGGCAGAGAGCACACTGGGAATGGCACAGGTCTTTTGAAACCTCAAAGCCTGCCAGTGACACGCCTCCTCCAATAAGGCCACAACTTCTAATCCTTCCCGAACAGTTTTACCAACAGGGGAGCAAATATTCAAACATATGAGCCTATGGGAGCCATTCTCATTCAAACCATCACATCTATTTATTGAGAGCCTAGAATCAGTGATGATCCAACAGCAATATCTAACATATTAACAGGAACCACAGCTCTTTAGAAATATGGCCAATTCTAGACTGGAGTAAGGAAGCACAAATATGATGGACAGGGGCTGGGAATAAGGCTGAATTTCAGTGGTAAAAAGATTGCCTCCTCTTCGTAACATTCTTCTTTCATCTAGTGTGTGCATGGGTGTATGTGTGTCTACACTTGTATCACACCAGGCATGCAGAAATCAGAGGACAACTTACAGAAGTCAGTTCTCTCCTTCTACCATATGGGTGCTAGGGATTGAACTCAGGTCATCAGGCTTAGCAGAAAGTGCTTTTGCCACTGAGCCATCTCACCAACCCCAATCTTAAATCTTTCCTGTAGGCCTACAATTCTTAATTCTTTCTTTCTTTCTTTCTCTCTTTCTTCCTTCCTTCCTTCCTCCTTCCTTCCTTCCTTCCTTCCTTTTTAGTGCTGAAGAACAAATCTAGGACCATTATACACCAGGCCCTTGTAATTGTACATTTTTTATTTTTTATTTTTTATGGATGTGGGTGCTTTGTCTGCATGTATGTCTGTACACCGTGAGCACACCTGGCACTTGCAGACACCAGAAGAGGATGTCCTGGAACTAGAGTTATAGGTGGCTGTGAACCGACATATGGGTGCTAAGAATCGAATCCAGGTTCTCTGGAAAAGCAGTAGGTGTTCTTTGCTGCTGAGCCGTGTCTCCAGCCCATCTGTGACATTTTTTAAAGAACCCATCTTTAGAGTCGTATCTGCTTTAGTGAATTACATTTTTCTCATACTAAACAATATTCCCAACAACTGACAATATAACAATTTTAAGCACCTCAGCATGGAATACATAATGCATGAAACTATTCAAATTATCAATTAGCCGGGCGGTGGTGGCGCACGCCTTTAATCCCAGTACTCGGGAGGTAGAGCCAGGCGGATCTCTGTGAGTTCGAGGCCAGCCTGGGCTACCAAGTGAGTTCCAGGAAAGGCGCAAAGCTACACAGAGAAACCCTGTCTCGAAAAACCAAAAAAAAAAAAAAAAAAAAAAAAATTATCAATTAAAGGATATGTGGGCTAAAGATCACTCCATCCTGTTTCACATAAACCAAAACAGACTTACTAGTTGTAAGACCAAATAAAAGTGATCTCAAATAAGAGTTATGTCAGTAAAACACAATCTCTTAATGGGTCAGAAGTAACTTTACTCATTTATATTTAACAAAATATTTTGAGGATTTTGAAGATCAAATGTCCTGAAAGGGACAACAACCCAGCACTTTCTGCTAGCACAGCTGTTTGCTAAAGATCTTGAGAGGAGCAAGGCTCTGGGATAGAAGTCAGTAGTAGGAAAAGATAATAGCTACAAAATATTAAGCAAATTTTGGAATCACTTATTATTAATGTCGAGTTCATGAACATTTATCACTACATGCTATGCCTTCTTCAGGCCCTGGATGGAAAGCAATAAGCATAACCAACCACACCCCTGTTTGTCATGGTACTTCCAGTTTAGAATGATAAGACACTGCACACATGACCAGTGAACACGATAGGGAAAAAAGACACTGCTTTTATTTGTGGTGATTATTAAGAAACACCTCTTTAGAGAAAGTTATACTAGAGCTAAGTCCACTA